TGTGTGTGTGTGTGTGTGTGTGTGTGTGTGTGTGCGCGCACGCGGGATAGGGGTGTCTGCTGCGGATAACAGAGCAGGCAGGAGGAGGAGAGAACGAGGAGAAGAGCGGTGGACTTATTTCTGATTTTATCTGACTATTTAATTTCATTTTTATTGTTTTTATCGTCCTGCAGGCTCTGAGGGAAAATTAATTTGAAGCTGAGTTTTTTTTTTAATAAAAATCGTTAGATTACTCTAGGGAAAATCTGTGTCAATTACAGACTTCTGTTCACGTGAGCAGCTGTCAGTCAGCACCTGTCAACCTCCAGACACATGACGGAGCGTCTGAACCAATCACTTTTGTTGACACTGATCAGCTGACTGATTTAAATGCATCTTAACATTCATGAGGTACTTTGCATTGACATTATGGTTGAGTGTGGGCATGGAGAGGGTAGAACCTGAGGCGGGACATCGTGAGCAAACTCTGACGTGCGGCTGTGATTTATAAATGAAAGATGCACAGAAACATGTGTACGCACAATTTTATAAATCTGATTTTTTTTTTTTGGCGTACGCCATTTCCGCCTTTTGGCCGTACGTTCACTTTTAGTATGGTTTCCATGCAATCCTTTATAAATGAGACCCCTGAACTTTTAAGGTAATGTTTGAGGAAAAGGTTATGAGCAATTATTATCTCACCTGATGTAAAAAGCTCATAAAATGACCTCAGTTTGGAGAAATAAAGTTTAATTTTGACTGAGTTGATGAGCTAATGGTTAGTCTGAGTGGTTCCAAGACTAAAGTGGAATGCAGCCATCTTAAGTATTATCTATTAACTCCAATTAAAAAACAATCCTAACTGTTCATGCAAACACTACTGAAACTTAATATCAAACATAACATTTTGCATTTAGAGGAGGTTTACATAGGGTTTGTGATCATTTGAAAGAACTAGCAGTAGCATTTCCCATGCAGCTTGCAGCATTTGCAGCAGAACTAATAATATTTATGGTGGAATAGTTGTGCAGCTCAGAACTGAGAGTCATGTAAATGTTTATAAAATAACTTTTACTTGTGCTGCAATAACATTTGTAGAGTCTGGAATTGTTGTAAAACAAAAAAAATCCATTTTGGTCTTGGCCTTCGTTGGACTAGCCGTTAGCTTATTAATCCAGTCAGAATTAAACTATTTYTCCTGAGGTCTTCAAAAGCCATCTGCAACAGGTAAAATATTTACTGTTCATAACCTGTCTACAGAATTTCACTCCAAACTATCCCTTTGAGGCACGAAGGCTCTAAAATCTGATGTAAAGTTATTTTGATGATAGCATATCACCACATCAGAAGTACAGGAAACACAAAAAAGCCAAAATTACAAAAGCTAAATTTATACCTAATAATTCAATAATGGAAAACCCTAATAATATATATAAGGACTCTCTGTCTTTTATTCATGTACTCGATGACACCAGGGAAAGCTTATTTCCAATATCCAAACATATAAAAGAAGAAATTAAAGCACACCTGTTCCCATGAACATGGGATGCACAAAAAGCAAAGCTGTAGTGAAGGAGAGTGGGGTCAATGATGGCTCCATTTTCTGCCCTTTCCAGTAGATCACGCAGGTAACCCAGATGTCTGTGACAACCTCGAACTCCATTCCTCGCACAGTACTCATCCAAGACAAACACTTGGCCTGGGCTGAACCATCCCTGCGCAACACAAACACACAGGGAGACCAAAGTACTGACGCCAGCAAACAAACAAAAAAAAAGAAAGAAAAAAAGAAAAGGAAAAAACAGCTCATGCTGCTTATTTTTATTTATTTATTTGGAAAGCTCATCCCAGGCAGAGCGACACTCACCAGGCAGCAGAAGGTGTCATTGAGCCTGTGGTCCAATGTGAGTCTCTGCAACATCTCAAAAAGCGAGGCGTGGTCATAGCTACACGGGTTAGCGGAGATAAACTCATCCATGCCATGTTTCTGAGCTCTGTCAGCRTCTATCCAGCCCAACGGCACAAGGAGAAACACACAGTTCAGAAAAGAGGACATCAATGAGAAAACAGCAAGTCTTCGGGACAACACAACCAGACTGTTGGGCTACTGCTAAGGGCAAATTATAACAACAGCTTACATTGTCAACTTGCATTGTGTTGGACAGCGTAAAGAGCATTTTTGTTTTGTATTAGTGAGTCTATGAGTCTGAAGCTAAGCTCAGAGGGACTGGGGCGTCTACTGTATGTGCATACAGGCGTATTTGTATGCTGTGCTGCCTGAAAAGAGTTTTCTTTTTAGATACATTAAATTCATTTTTTTCCTTATATATTCAATAGATTCTGCCATTCGCAAGCATTGTCACTCAGGTCCTGACAAATTCTGAAAAGTGTGCTAGTAAAAAAAAAAAGAAAGAAATTCTAAAATAAAWATGGAATAAATTGCTGGTACATTGTAAAAACAACATTAAGTTGCTAAAAGTTATAAATATAGTTCTGTATAAATATATAATTTTGTTCTCTATATTGAATTCAAGCTCTCCTTAGATTTCTGTTTGTTTTGATTCGAAAAACAAATCAAGTTGGTAAAACATTAAGCCTGTTCTGTAAAGTATAAAGGAGAACCACTGACGTAACTGAAAAAAGAAAAAATAAATTTAACTGAGTAAACATGGGTTGAGAAACCACAGATGGACTGATCAAATTACTTCCTTTTTGTTTGACTGATTACAGATTGCAGCGACTTAACAGAAACTGCCTGCTCTGTAAGTAACACAGCTGTTTGAGAGGCAAGTACAAAATGACGGTGGGGACAAGTGGGACTCAAAAATACATAGGAGGTGCATGTCCTTGGTTGTGAGAGACAGGTTTTATGTTCGAGAAACACTGACATGASGGATGATGGTTGGGAGCTGGAAGTGAGGGTCTGATCCCAGGAGGGCAGGACTGAGTCCAGTTTAACTGACATCTGCCACCCTCCAGGTGTAACATGGACTTTAAACATTCAAGAAAACTGGTGACAACAGGAACCAATGAACACTTGTCTTTAGCTCTGTCTTAGTAAATCAACTAGTAAAATGTGGACGATGAAAGGAGGCAACTGAAAGGAAAACAAAGAGACAAGACAGGAAGAGGGAGTAATAATTAAATGATTCAATATCTGGACAGTAACACTTAAAGGAGTGGAACACGTAAAGGAGATGGCTAAAGGCTTTACAGAGGAGCCGGTGCTGGGTGAGAGATGGCGACAGGATGAAAGAGATGCTGTAGGACMATAAAGAGTTTGGTGAGAAGTGAAAGCAACATTTACTCGTGGACTCGTTGCAAAGAAACAGACGTGAGGAGAAAACAGCTAAAGAGTGAAAGAAACCGTGCACGGGAATGGACTGTGTGACACATCGAGTGGAATTTATTCACATTAGTTTTTTTTAAAGAAATGACACAGAAGTCCAGAAGAATTATCAGAACTCACATGAATAAAATGGCCGGTACACCAAAGTAAATATGAGATTTATTTTGCATAAATCACAACATGCTGGCGAATAGAGTGACTTTTCAATAGGCCTTTAAATGTCATGCACATCTGCAGACCCATTTTCAAATTTGTATTTTTTTAGCTCTTTTTTGTGCATTCCTTTTTTAAATTTCTTTTCTTCTTCTCTACGCATTTGCAAGTTGACAATACTTGAATATGTTGCAGTGTATTCATGATCTCTAAGGAGCACACTAACAGGCATACCACTACCGGAGATCTCTAATAGGGTAAGCAATACAATTTGGTGCAAGTACATGGGTAAATAGCATGGAGTCGAGAGAGGCAAAACTATCATTCTCTGGGGGGGTTAAAAAAATAAAAATGAGCAAATGAATCAAAATTCTTGTGTTTTTACAAAAGTATGGACACATGACAGGTGTTGTCCTAAATTCAGGCAAAAAAGGGCAATCAAAAGAAATCAAAATGATACCTCTTTTTTTGGAGGTGTAACACCGGTCTAGCCTCTATCTACAGGCTCATCTACGATAGGAGGAAGGAGAGAGGAAGGGAGGGGGGTCCGGAGTATTTTTATTGTAAGAAGGGGCGGCAGTGGCTACTCCTTGTTTCTGGCATTCAGAATACTCCGCATGCATATTTGCCAACTCTCATCAAGGAAAGATCAAAAAACAAAAGAATTAAAAGAAATTGAGCCCTCTGAAGTAAAGCGTGCTGAAATAAAAACTCATGCGCTGAATTTATTTTGAAAAACCACAGCAATACAGAATAATTTGAAGGGCCTTTAAATACGGGAATGTCATATTTTTAGGTGCAATTACTTCTACTTAATATAGTTTTAATCTTGAGTTTCACTGCTAAATAGATTGGCGTTCTAACCCTTTCTTATAAAAATATTTTCACTGATCTAATCACTAGCATCAAATTGCTTTACGCTGAGGGATCCAGCCACCAATAAGAATAAAGAGAGAAGGCAATTATGCAGAAACAACTACAGTATAATATAAACTTCAGTCAGTACTAAGTCAAATAATAAGATCTTAGATAAAAAATACATGCATCCTATATGGGCACGAATGGATGCTTCTACTTTGATCCTCATACTGAGGTCATTAAAAAACAAACCAAAAATAAAAGTCATCAACTAATATCTAAGACATGAAGCGAGACGTGGAAAAAAAAAAAGAAGAGGGAAAGAAGAGAGAAAGAACGTTGCATTTGTCAGATAATCGGCGGGGATTATCTGAGCAGTGCCGGCTACAGGGAAGCACTTACCCTTGAGTCCAGCTAGAAGACAGCAGGGTAAGAAGGGACAAACCAGAATAACATAAAGACTAGCAACAAGGCTGGAGGAGAGCAATCACGAGAGACCCTGACCTAGCAGCTGCATTACTTAAAGAAGGGTCCAGGCGAAGCATGAAGAAGAAAAAAACACAACTCAAAAAACAACAACAACCTATATACCAACAGGAACGTTTGTGGGTGGTGGTGTGTGAGCACGTGTGAACAACAGATGTTGAAGTGTGTTAGAAAGTGAAAAAGGAAGACAGACAGAGTGCAGAAGAAAGACAGAGGAAGGAAAACCAGAATTTATGATCCTCATCACTCCACTGCAGGGTTTTTTTTGTTGTGTTCTGGATTATGAGCAAAATCTTAAAGGGTTAAGAAGTACTGTAGCCCAGTCTGCTCAAACACAAAGCTTCCTGTTCAAAGAGAAATTAGGAAAGACATAAAAAATGGATCAAACGAGGCTCTGTGCTCGAGTCTTTTGAAAGGAATGACTCAGCTGATAAATCTGTTTTTAAATTGCATTACAGGGCTGCCATTGCATTTTCTCCCACCATTACACTGGGTGTAAACTTTCCATTGAAGAAAAAAGTCAAGTGAATCAGACATTACACTGCAAAAATTGTCCATCTAACAAAGTCTTACAATCTTATATCCAGCAAGAAAAGTATTTTTGACCTTGTTTTATGCTGATATACTAAGCAAGAGCAGAATGTGTTTGATTATTAATCTTAGCCTGGAAAAATTCCTTATTTCAAGAAGACACTGGCAGATTATTTTTGCTTGATTTGAGAAGGTGAAGATATGTATTGCTTCTCTTCTTATACGAAGAGAAACAAACGGCTCCTCCTGGTTTAGCTCTCCATCGTACCTCTTGGTGTCAGACTGCAATCTTTTCCTCAATCTATCTACATAGCTTTGTTTTCAGAAAGCTAAATCAGTTGTATTCAGGTAATTACTTTATTTATGTTGTCTATTTGTTGTTTTTTTACTTCAAAACTTACAAAAAGCATGCGGCTGATCTAAAACTTGAGATTGAGGCCTTTAGGCTAGTGAATCATATTTTTTACAACTTGAGCTCATTTATAATGCAGCTACTCCATCTGGGCAAAACTACTAGTTTCTCTGAAACAATATTCGTATCAGCAAGACAAAGGGATCTTTCCACTAACTTAACCTGTTAAACCCACAAGGTTTTAGAAGTATTTTTCTTTTGCAGGCACTGTACCGGCCCCGTTGGGCTCAAAAGGTTAAAAATCTCCTTTTCAATAGAACACTTGTGATATGCACTAAGTCTCTTTCAGGATAAATTCATAAAGGGTTATTTTTGGTGGAGTAAGTTCACGGTTGTTGCACTGCAGCAGAGTAATGAGGGCTTTATATGTATGCTATGGTCCCAGTGCCATTTATGAGCACCGGGAGGTGAAACATGTATGCGTGGTGGTGCTACAATGTTTCAGGGAGGGCGGGGAGGAAGGAGGAGGTCTGTGCCGCTGTGAGGAAGCTTTGAATGACAACAGCTGGCATCAGAGAATTCAACTAACCACAAGAACGATCACACATACTGGACAAAAACCAATGAAGAAACAACACAGAGTTTTATGTAATGGGATTTTGAGTATCTCTTATCCAATTTATGCAAATTTGTTTTGTAAATATTTTTACTATAATTGTAACTGACATGAGTGGAAACCTGAGTCCGTGTTTTTTTTAGTGGCAATTTAAATTTCTTTTAGGAATTTATGTTATTAAAATAAAAAATAGGTTATTTTTGATCTAAAAAGTCAAAAGAAATGCACACATAAAAATGTCTGAATAGCAGGATCTATTATTGGAAATAGTTCATCTGAGAGTGAGATTATTTGTAGTAGGTGAGAGGTTTGTGTAAGGGCTGTTTAAGGGAAAAGACAGAGTGATAAACACTTTTATCTAAGAGTAATAAAAATTATGAYAGCACAGGTCCAAACCAATTAAATTAAGAAAATTGGTGCTGTCAGAACGGATTACCTTCTTTAATTCATGTGGGACACAACAGACAGTTACAACCAAAGTGGGTACAGACACCACACTACTTAAGAAAGTCTTACCTTCCCATTTGCTACCTGACCTGGGACTGCTCAAAAGTACAGTGACAGATTGATTAGAATGTCAACAGGTCTGACTTGGCGGTCATTTATTAGCGACACAAGAACATGTCTCGAGACCGGAGCGCCCTCTAGAGTTTAAACGGTTAGCGTGGGAGCRACGATCTGAAACTGGGAGGCTGAATTCAACCCCACCTGGATTGAATGTTCAAATCATACATGTGATGTAGTTCATTCCAACTTTCCTGATTTTTTTTTTTTTTTCAGGTCGATTGTTCCTTGTAAGCCGACTGATGGAATAGCATGGAACTGCATCGTAAAACATTGTGCGGTGGGGTGGGGGGGTTGGGTTAAGGATAGGGAGTGATGACAATGAGTGGAAGCCCCTAACTGCTGAAGGAATCAGCGAGCAGTCAATGCATGTGTGCGCGTGCTTGTGTGTTAGTTTTATCGCTTGCGGCTGCAGAGTGGAGAGCATGGTGTGACACATTTATGGGTTAGAGCTTTTCACTGTACTGGGGATGGAAACTGCTTTCTGCCTCAGTGACTGTATGTTGTGTTGTGGGTTACTTACAGAACTGAGAGATGGGGGCATCCATTTGAGCCGAAGCGCCCCCTTTGGAGTTGAGTTTCTGGACCTGAGTAGGTGGGACGGGTTTGTGGGACTGGCCAGTAGCACGGTACATGGCCTGGACCCATAGGATGCGGTCTTGCTCGTCATCGCTGGCGAAGATCACAGTGTCGCCCTCCTTCACCGCATTGAAGAAAGTTCTGCCTCCATCCAGGCCTGCGGGAACAGAACGTTGGAGAAGAAGTATTTAAATATTCATGTGCATGTGGATGTGGAGTTTTATTGTTTCTCATTATGTTGTCTGACCTGGCTGGGGGTCACTGTAGTCCACAGTATACCCATCCAGCTGCAGAAGTTCTTGTGGCTCAGACTTTTTCTCTCTATAGCTGCACATTGCAAACGTATACTGGCTCACCTAAAAAGAGAAATACTGCTCACATGAACTAAAAGCATAAAAATGTGTATAACACACTGCAGTATTTAGTAATCGCAATAACAGTTCTAAACAACATTCCTACATTTGGTTTTAGGACAAGAAAGCCCTGAACTGCGGAGAAGCTGTAATTATTTTCAAGTACAAACAGGAAATGAATTTTTTTTAAAGTAAGAACTAGTTTCTTCATTCCTAATTATTTTCATGACTTTTCTTTTGAAAAAAAAAAAAAAAAACAGTAAACACTTTCTGATCAAAACTTTTGTTAAGCATGTGTGAAATGTGGTAAAAGTTGCAGCTAAAATGATTTAAATGGGTGGTTAAAGGAAACGTGTAAATACACCTTTTTAGCTGTTAAATATATTTTGTTGTGTTCCTGGAGTCTGTAGTGCAGAACATTTTATTTTAGTCTCTCCTGGTATTCTGTTTGGGTCATTACTTTCAACCTGTTCAGTTCTCTCTATTCTCCATGACGTTTTGTGAACTATTACGTCACAGAATTTGTGATGGGACGGCCAAATGAGGTTTGAACTTTCCAGCTACAACTGGGCTCCAACACGTATGGCAGGATGGGCAAGTCTTCCCTTGACATCTTTAAATTAATTTGTAAATAAAAAGGTTCTGCACCACTATATAATTAACCCTTCTTTCAAGCTAGAATGGATCGGTCTGAAAGCTAGAGGGGGCGGGGTGTGAAGCGCCTTGTTTGGATTTAAAGAGACAGCATCAAAACGAGACACACCTCAGAAAACTGGTGAAAGAGGGGCTTGTGGAGTTACAATAGGGAAAAATTCAGACCAAAGCATTTCGGTTCTTCTTTATATAGACCAACTGAATGACTTAAACGTGAAAAAAGAATACATTACAAATATGACACGTCTCCTTTAACTCCTGTTATTGTGCTAAAAATAACCACAACTACTCCAGGGAAAGGTGTCTGTTCGGTTGGATACATTTTTGTTCACAACCCACCTGTACAAGAACAAAGAAACGCTTCTTCCAGCGTTTCCAGACATTCTTCCCAAAAGCCCACAAATACCTGTAAAAATAAATAAATAAATAAATAAATAAATAAATAAATAAATAAATAAATAAATAAATAAATAAATAAATAATCANGCCCACAAATACCTGTAAAAATAAATAAATAAATAAATAAATAAATAAATAAATAAATAAATAAATAAATAAATAAATAAATAAATAATCATTTCAGTCCAAAATCTCATATGTGCAAACAATATATAGACACACTGTATTATCTTCTGTAATTGAATGTTGTTATGATTTGTTTTATTAAAAATGGAGAAAGAACACCGACATCCACCAGGGGGAGCTGTGCCCTTCACTGTATTTTTCCACAGCACGTGAACAGAAATGAGGCCAAGAAGCTGAGAGGGAAAATGAAATCCACATAACATCCCTGCGTGTTTCATTTGGTGAAGGATCTCTTACCCGCAGTGTTTCATGTTCTGTGGTTTGTCCATGCGCACAGCCAGTTTTATCTTTAGATCCTGGTCGGGGCAGGCCTTGGTCACTGTCATCTTATGGAGCTCGGATTGTTTGGGGCTGTTTGGTGTTGGGTGGAGGACAACCTGAACCCAAGGAAACCACAGAATGCAAAACTCTCTTATTAATAGGACCGATTGTTCAGCAGTAGCAATTAGTATGTGCGGTGGTTCTGGTAATTATGTGCCTTTGCTTCCAGAAAGAAAAAATAAAATAAAAAGTGAGTCGCAGCGGAGTAAGACAGCAGCGCTTCGCTCTGCCCTCCAAGAAGAAGAGGTCTAATCTCTCCTTGCCGACTTAAAGAGCTTTGAGGAAGCCGGCTTTCCTGCCAACTCTGTCGCAGAGGGAGATCAAAGAGCCCCGCCGCCGCCGCCAAGGTCACTGTCACTACAGGGACGTCTGAGGTGCCATGGCCCGAACCTGCAGCACCGTCTTTACCTACAAATACCTGTCACTTTCACACAAGGAGACGCAGACTGGAGAACAGATTGGTGTTTCTGCTCTCTTGACATTTAGGTCAAGCTGAGCGAGATGAAATTTAAATTAAACAGAAAGTCTGCTGTCAAAAATGGTACTCTTCTATTAAAAGTACAGCTGATTAATTCATGTTTAAAAACAAGCACCATGTACGGATGTAGTTACATTTTTTTAAATCCCAGACCAATATAAAATCTGGTGGTGAATTCAAAAAGAACATTAAAAACCTTACAAAATATAACATAAAAATTGTGATTATCTCAAGTATTAAGGAAGTTATGGATGTTAGTTTAGGTGTAATCAAGCTCATGATTTCATACCTGAACCAATAGGGCTTTCGCTTTCATATTGTCTATTTTTGCTCATAACTTTTTTACTTTTCAAAATATCCATGAAATTTTAGAGCAAGATCCATTTTCTATTTTTTGTAGGAAGAAGTAACAATAACAACATTATGCAATCCAATGTAAAAGTGGCAGAAAGGGTATAAAATAATGTTAGAAGGCTTGCGTCACCAAACTACAACATCAAATAAACTTGATGCATCTTGGAAAACCAGGAAGCGAAAACAATTTAAAAAACCATGTGGACATTTGTTTTGTAAACAAACCCCCTCAACCATTGACTGCATACGAAATGTGTCAAGTGATGAAGATGAGCATCAACACATTTTGCTAACATGGGCTATTCCGTAGAGAAAAACAAAACAAAATGTACTTTGATGTTTCAGATCATAATCAAATTTGGAACAAAGGCAGAGAAAATAACGTTCTTCAGGTAAACTTACCGATTTCAGGGGATCAATGGAAAAATTCAAACGAGTCTGCAGCGAACTACCTGACATCAGCACAGTTTCACGAAAGTCAAAGAAATAACAAAACAGGAGCAAATAACAAGTGAACACCTGGTGCAGAGTTGCACGGTCAGTTTAGGAAGAAAATGGCAGCCGCTGCTGAGGATATGTCAACATCCCTACACAATGTGACAGTACAAACATGAACAATGTTACTGGTAATCGTGAGGTGGGGCATCAAAACCTAAAGCCAGAACAAGATGTTATGACTTCTGTTATATACAGGCTTTTGTAAAAATATGGCAATGTGGAAGTTAAGAAATCAACATCTGATACTGATATTGTAGATCTACTTTAGTTTTGTATTTTACACATGTACTGGGGTGGTCATTGCTCCCTGTGGCCCCTTTTTATAGTATCTCTGTTGGGAGTAAAAACAAAACAAAATGGCTGATGATTCCTCAAAAAAGATTTTAATAAGTCTTTCTATAAATACAGGTTTAGAGCTTTTTTAAACTCTTTTTCGTGTTGAACTTCTTAAGGATACATCAGAATCCCTTCCAAGTGTCCTGATGCGTTTGCTGTCCTTTTTATAGCTGTGTTGAGATCAGAGTGACTGAGTGTTGCTGAAAGTGTAAATATGGTTCTTACCCTGCCCAGTTCTTTGTCTTCCAGCGCCAACACGCCTGTACTCTCTGTAAACAGTTTCACCTTGACAGCCGGCAAAGGGTGTGTGGTGGTGAAGTCTCCCTGGGTTCCCCAGCTGAAAAACAAACAAAACATACTCCAGAGGTTTCTCTTCCATGACAGCACAGCGTAGTTGCACTGTGACTTCATCTGTTTATCAGGTAATAATGGCAGACATGAGGGAGTTGTCTAAAATTAGAACATTTTTTGTAGTGTTGTAAATTCAGAATTAAAATGTAAAAGAAAAACTATTTTGGGGACTTTTGTACCCTCTGTCTTTTAGTTTATTTTTGGCATTTAGTTTGGATAGACCTGATATCTTAAAGCTGCTTTTTAAATGTATATAAAATAAAACATGATGAGCAAAAATGKTTTTGTGGGAATACAAGAAAGGAGTGTCAAATCCAGCGTGTGCTCTCAAGTTTGATCTCATCATCTTTTCGAAGAAAATAAAACTGCCAACTCACAAGTGTGATAAAAAACAGAAACAATGTACAGCATATTGTTTGACAGATGAATTATGTGTCAGAAATCCAGCTGGATGCCCTAAACATAGAAACTTAATATATTTACAGAAGCTCAATACAAGCTTTCTGGAAAATAGTTAAAGTACAAAGAACTGAGAAAAAAGTGATCTTTCTGTCCCTTCTGTTGACACTGTGCTATGGTTTAAACAGTAAAAAGTGAATAATAAATGTAACCTAATGGCACCTTTTAACTTAGTTTTCTAAAGTACTTCACAGCTTGCCTCCTATTCWTCTGATCGTGTTAACAACTTTTTTAACGATATGACACTGATGTCAATATAAGAAGATTATTGCAGACTGCTCCGAGTATGAAGCTGTCAAAACAAAGATCCATGAATATTTCTGTCAACATCTCTCAGTGAATCTGTGTGGTGCAATAATACAGCCGCAGTCCTTTATATTGTTTACTATTAATATTTCATTATGCACTTGTAAAGATCTGCAACATTCAGTCAACTGTACTGGTGTATATATATATATAT